GCTTTTGTTTCCCCGCCCCCCCCCCATGTCAGAATGGTTCCCACAGCAACAGTTTAGGTATCTTCCTTTATCACTGTGGATATTGTGTGACCCACAAGGGGGAGCTCTGACTCTGCAACCAAGTTGATCACTGAATGTGTTGTAATAGGTACATTGTATGATTCCGTTAAGTCTTGTTGCCACACACAGTTTCATCAGAATACAATAATTTACAGCTTCAGGGCCAATAAAATATACACAATTGGGATTTAAATTGTAAAATGGTCATTACAAACAGCCTTTGCTGAATGTTTTTGCATGCATCTCATGTCATACAGTGGTTTATTATATAGAGTAATCTCAGGCTGTCAATTTACAGGATTTGTGGAATCATTTTGGCCTTGATTTTTGGAAAACACCTGTAACAGTTGTCACTGTAACATATATGATCATTGGGCAATTTACCAATGTAACATTGTATGTCACCTTCTGGCCTGGTGATAATGGTCACTAGCACAGGAGTTGAGAGAGAATCTCTATAACGTGGACCCAGATAGCGGTAACAAATGGAGAGGTTCTAACAATAACTAGGAAACACTTTGGCTGCAGATCCACTTTATAATGTAGAAAGTAGCTGGATCCAACACAGTATAGATTTGCTTCGTATTCTTTTTAATTGTTGTCACTCACAAAGTATATTTAACACTTTTTCTTTCATTTCTACAGTGGATTTTCCACCATCTGTTCGAATACATTTGTTGACGAAGATGGCAGATATAGAGTGAGTTGTTTTATTCTTAATGACTCTGTTCTAGAATTGTCATAGGTCTTTTGTCTGTAGATTGGAGCTGGTGATGTAATCCATAGTCGGCAGTCTTCAGAGCATACCTCTCAAATGGGAGGACTCGGAAATACCATCCTTACTGTGCTTGGACTTGACAGAAGACTATTGATGTGGGATGATTTGAATAACTATTGTTGTGCCCATGATCTGTTATCGCTATGCAGAACTTTGTAGCAAAATCCAGTTTAACCTGATTGGGCCTTTATAATGGCATAAATCCATCTTTCATAGGATTCTGTTCAGAAATATTGCATAGTTCTTGATTAGCTTAATCTGCTGTAGAGATGACATTTTGTTATGATGTATAACCTTTATTTTGTGACAGATACAGACTGGCTTCTGGTACCAGTGAGAAGATACAGCTGAGCTCCTTAATAGCTGCATTCCAGGTCACACGAGACTTGATTGTAGCTGAAGCTTAGAGTGGGAAGGAGCAACTTGAGAAATGAGGTCAAGGTTACACAAGGACACAACAAGAAGCTTTTTTTCACAATTGTGTATACATAGTGGAACAAAACCGTGTATTTAAAGAACGTCGGAGACTAGAAGTTTTGGAGATGCCAAAACATTTTCACACAGGAGTGTGGATGTTATGTTCTTCGCTAAGAACAGAAAACGTTACTTTTATCATAATGCTTTTTCAATGTGCTGTAAAACTAGAGTGAAATGGCTACTGTCCATCCAAGTACATTTGCTTTCACTTTATGCCCTAAAACATGAACCTGCATTGTATCTAAAACGTACAAGGTGTGTATAGTTTATGCTAAAAAAAAAGTTGTTTTTTCTACTTTCTCCTAATGTTTTCGTCTTTCATTTTTGTACTGCACATGAATCCTGCTCCTCAATGAAATGTATGACTTTGAGATGAATATGGATGAATACCATGTCACAGTATTTCTCTGCAAGACATCGCAATGAAAATGGTGGCCTTTAGGTACAACTTTCAAAGGGGCCTTACCTTTTCAAATCCAAGAACCAGGACTAAGAATATCTATGGATAGCAGCACTGGGAGTAAGCTGGAGTCCCAAACAGAGGAACGCTGATCTGCTAATCAAGTGTCATCTCTGTGGGTCTTCCATGAAATGTATCCCATCAACTTCAGTAAGAAATGTGTGATCTGTACATGTGTATGCTAACGGAATTCAGGCCAATTGTGCATTCAGGTTTTAACTCTTACATGTCCAAGGCTTGTCAAACCTAAATGACCAAACCACATTTTTAGGTTTTGGTATGCACTAGTTTACTCGACAATAACTTTGTAACTGCTTTGCATATCAAATTATTTTCACATTTTTTTTCTTTTCAGCATACACAGGTCCTTCATTTATTTTTAAAAATAGCCTAAATGGATATATATATATCCATATATATATATATATGGAAAAAGAAGGTCTTAGGCTGTGGGCAGAGCTGCCAACTGCAAATACTGGCTGCATGTCAGAGCGTCCCACCTTTTGGAGTAAATTTTACAGGTAGGTGCCTTCCCTACAAGCGACAGTTTTATGGTTGTGCTACTGACAGGGCAAGAGAGAGAAGTGGACACACACAGCACCTCAAACAATAAATGTTTAATCATGAGTTACAGGATCAGAGTCTTAGCTCATGGGTTATTAACACTGGCAAACAAAGCCATAAGGGAAGCTCTAAATATAACCCTTTCCGCTCCCAGCAAGTTTTTAGCTGGTTTCCTTAGGGGAGCAGATGTCTTCTCTCAGCTCTGAGAGAAGCAAACTACTCTTTTTATTTCATCAAGGCTCTGCTAGCAAGATTCCTAGCTATTGCATTGCTACTTGGTTGACCTAAGCTGAACCTTAGGGGACTCTATCCAGACCCTGCCAGAAAGAAGATGCAACGCTGGCTTGTAACGTTGTTTCGGGTACTGGATCATGCATTAGGCGTGTAGTGCAATGTGCTGAATTAGCTGCAGGGTGTTATCCAGGCCTGTGGCCCATCTGCCAGTGAAACACAGTCCCTGAAGACCCAAGGGCATGAGTAGACAAATTCTGGCCCTCCAACTCTGGTGAAGCTACAAATCCCATCATGCATCTGAGAGTCATGCCCATGGCTGTCAGTCTTGCAATGCCTCATAGGACTTGAAGTTTCACAACAGCTGAAGGGTTGCTCTAGGGCAGGGGTAGGCAACCTTGGCTCTCCAGCTGTGCTGAAACTACAAATCCCATCATGCTTCTGCCTCTGGGAGTCATGCCTGTGGCTTGCAATGACTTATGGGATTTGTAGTTTCAGCACAGTTGGAGAGCCGAGGTTGCCTACCCCTGCTCTAGGGAGTATGTCCATGGAGAGGGTAGAGATGTGGATGTGGCTCAGTCACTACTGTCCATCCTTGACCATTGGGAGAATCACAAGACAGCTGCTGTAACTTGGGGCTACTACCCTTTAAATTAGAGCCCGGGGTGCTGTTATTGCTTCGGTTACTTAGAGGTCACATGGACTGCTGGCTGCAAATCTTTCAATCACAGCTCACCATGGAAACAGCTGGTACTTCACATTTTATATTTGGTGTTCTAGGGCCTCTGGCTGGGGCTGCCATTGCATCTGCACACGCCATTTTACTACACACGTTTATTCCCAGAATCTTCCCCTGCGCCTCTCCATTGCTACACAGTTCAGCAATCCTTGAATGTGCTGGGCTCCTATAGTCTACAATGACTGAAGGCATAACCCTTTCTGCTCGGTTGTGATTACCTTCCTGTTTATCTAGAGAGGTGTTTTGAGTCACCATGCTACTTACTGTTGCAAACATGTCAGACTTATAACTTTCTGGTCCAAACACATGGCTCAGGTCCCTGGATCTCTTGTGATGGATCCATCTGTCCTCCAACATTTGGAGCGTTTGCAATACTTTGTTGATGCTTTAGCTGATACGCTTTACCAAATATCCAGGATTAGCCTTCCTTCATACATATGCGAACGATTCTTTGCGAAACTTCCAAGCAAGAAGCTCTTTGCAGGGGAATGCCTTTTTAGTGACTCCTTAGAAACCTACATCAAGCCAGTCATGGGGGGGGGAAATGGCCTTATTACCCCAGAAAAAGAGGGCAGAATTTCTTAAGGTAAGCCTTGGCTCCTGAGACAGTGCCTTTTGTTTCTCGCAAGACTTGGGGGATCCAACACTGGTGCACAATTCTGCTGAGGGATTGGCCAGCCAAACCTGCCAAGTCCTGAAACTTTGCAAAAATGGGGTTGCCCCCATTTGTTAGGCTGGGTTCACACCTAGGCGTATTGAATATGCGTGTTTGTTGCGTGCGTCGTGCGTTTTTACCGCGATTCGCAGTAAAAACGCCCGTTTCCGAGGGCTACTTGGCTGTATCCCAATGGAAACACGAGACCAAAACACCCCAAAGAAGCACATGTACTTCTTTGGGCGTAGGCCGTTTTGTATCACGTTCGGACGGGCGGAAATACGCCAAGGTGTGAACCAGACCCATTGAATACAATGGGATTTAGATGTTTGAGCGTTTTGTCGAGCGTTGAACGCGCTATAAAGCGTTCACGTGTGAACCAGGCCTTAGAGTGGGGGAACACCTATCGGCCTTCACAGCTATCTGCTCCCAAGTCATTTCAGACATTTGGTCCAGAAAGTTGTATCCAAGGGCTAGAGAGTAGCATTTTGGTTTCTGCCTCTTTCCCATTTCATGCTATCATATCTGCGCCCATGCAACGCTTCTCTCAGGGGGTCAGGGAGAGAAGATTTCAAGGTTTCTGTTCAAACCCTTTTACTGTCTCCTAGGCAAAAGGAAGCATTTCTCCCACTCTGGATCTTAACAGGTTCCTTCGAGTTCCAAAATTCTGCATGTAATCTGCCAGCTTAGTCATTGCTTCCTTTCAACAGGGGGGATCTTCTGGCCTCTGGACATCATGGTTACCTACTTGCATATCCCCATTTTCACACTACATTAACTCTACGTGCATTTTGCTGTAACCATGTAACCAATTTGTTGCCCTTCCCTTTGGCCTGTACACGTCACCTCAGGTCTTCACAAAGCGTGGGACAAGCAGGCTCAGTATCTGGATCGCTGTGTCTTACCAGCACAACCTGACTTTCTCTAATGTGGATTCCTTTTTCCTGATGACCTGGAAGGTGCACACAATGGATATCAGCTTGTCTGGTTGGGGAAGTGTCCTGAATACCCACTTGGGATGGGGATTTGGTTGTCAAAGGAAGCTCTGCTTCCATTTAGGAGAGACAGCGTCTCTTGGACTGACTGTTAATAATATTATCAAAGATGCTACTGGCGGCAAGAACAGCTATATTCCTTAGCAGAAGAAGCCTAATGAGCAGAATGTTGGAAGTCCTCCTTCCTGCCTGTTGGACGATCCACATGATGGATGCCAGCCTGTCTGGGAGGGGTCCTAGGCACTCTGTTGGTGCAGAGGACTTGGTTGTTAGAATTTCATCTCCTGAGATTAGACTGTACTGATCTGTGGGATTAGTACAGCCTGATCTGTCTTTGCTCCTCTGAAACTTCTTTGTCTGCATTGCAGGATCAATATGGAGAGCATTGTGGTGATCCTCACTGCTCCAGACTGGCTGAGGGTATATGATATGCCAACCTGCTAAGACACCCGGCAGACTCACTATTGGCACTGCCAGATCGTCAGAACTTTCTCTCCCAAGGACCGATTTCCCTTCCTGCTTTACAGTCGCTGGCTTTAAAAGCATGGCTGTTGAAGTCCAGGTTCAGAAGTACAGGGGGCGTCTCTAAATCTGATTCCTAGAGCTAAAAGATAGGAATTCCACTTTCATCTATCTTTGGACATTGAGGGTATACGTCACTTGATTGAGTGTCTGGGATTCCACCCTAGGAGTTCCTCTATGGGATGAATCCTGGGTCTGGTCCAGCATTTGGCTCTCGTCACTATCGAAGGTCAGGTTTCTGATCTCCCTATTCGGTTTACAGTCCGTTTGCCTTTTACACCTCAAAGGGGGTCTCCCATATAGGTCCCCTCATCTGTTACCCTGAGACTCCAAGGGAGCGGATTATGGTTCTCTCTGTGCTTCAGAAAATGCTGTTTGTACCCATTAGAGACATTCCTTTAATTTAAATAATGCAGTGACAATGCTCCAGGTTAGTCCATCCTTGCCCACAATCCAGAACTCACTACTGAGAAATATAGTTCAACCAAACAACAGATGATTACACAATCTATCATTAGATGCAAACTTCATGTTTAAAGCGGATACATGCAGCCTGCAAAAATATCTCTAATGTGTTTCATGCTGAATAGCACTTTCTAATAGAGTGAGCTCCTAAAATCTAACTCTCCTTTTTAAATGTAAACCACTCTCCTTCCTTCCGCAGGACAAACTGTTATAAACCCAGTTGTTATAAAGCTAGAGATTGCAATCTCCACATCATGCATACAAAAGTAACAAAACATGACATATCCTGAGAACATAAACTCATTTTATGAACTAAAGATTTCACATAAAGGAATAATGATTAGACTAAAAAGCAGAAAAGGGACAAGATTATAAAGAAATAGAAGAATGAGACAATGAAGTTGCAAGAAAATCATACACAGTAGACATATGAATGGCTCATAGTGCAAGATTGACACCTAAACCACACTGAGGAACCACAGGGCGGAAAATGAAAGAGTTAAAGGCACATCACAAGTTTACCATTTGTAATATCTACTAGTTTACCTTGGTGGGACTGGTACGAGAGAACATGACATAGGCCCAAGCTAGACAAAAACGTTGGTATGACCGCAACGCTAGGGAGCGGACATACAGCGTGGGGCAGAAAGTGTATGTTCCCCTTCCTATGCGGCAGAACAAATTACAAGCTGCCTGGGAGGGACCGTAATAGATCACCAAACGTCTGAATGATGTCACCTACCTGGTAAGTCTGGGAGCAGCCGGTAGGCGGCATATCTTACAGTGTCATGTATTAATATGTTTACTGTTTTGGACTGTTTGAAAACTAATAAAAACTAAAATTAAGATTTCAACCTTAGGAGATAACTGTAGCACTCTATTTAGCATTAAATGCGTTTGAGATCTTTTGCTGCCTGAAGTTTGTTTTGAACTGGGGGACAAGAGAATGCTATATTTAATAGGAATAGACTCAAACCTCATGATCGTCACAGTCCTCATTTTGAAATGACGGGACAAAATATTTCACATGGTTTATGTAAACATACACTGAGTGGCCAGATTATTATGACCACCTGACGTTTGTAGGCAAATTAGCTATAATTTCACGCTGAAGTTGCTAGAGGGCCAGACCATTATAAATAGGGAAGCAAGTTGTTTACCGCGACAGTAGAAGTGATTTTTTTCTGAAGATATGGGTAAACAACGTGATTTTTGTTAAATGTTCAAGATCAGCTGTTAAAGTGTTTAAAGACTAGACTGTCAGCCGAAAATCTGGGTCTGAACGTGCAAATTGTTGGGGCAGACGGGAGAGTGGCAAGACTGGTACAAGACAACAGAAGGGCAACAGTGCAGTGTCAGATTCCTCGCATCACCTTTCAACATCTGGTGGAGTCACGAGGCGGCCCAACGAAGTCATCTCGTGGAGTCAATGCCAAGAAGAATCGCCGCAGTATTGAAGGCAAAAGGTGGTCCAACGAAGTACTGATGGGGTAGTCATAATAATCTGGCCAATCAGTGTATAGTTGTGGCTCCAGCTCAAAAGGACCAGTCAATGAAATTTTCCTGATGCAAACATCTATTTGGACAAAACATTATCAATCTGACCCAAAGCTTAGAACTGGAGCAGTGATATGTATTTATTGTACGATCCTTCTTCATTATGTGCGGTGTTTTAAACAAAACAAAAAGAAACAGCCACAAATAAGGCATTTTATTTTTATTACATCTCCACATTCTGATCATACAAAGCATAACATGATCCCTGTTTGTGTCATCTGATGTAAGGCAACACCAGAACATTTTTACTTTTTAATGTAGAAACGTGTTTAGTTTTTTTTTTGCAAAAATACAATGTACCATTTGCAATTCACCCACGATCATTTATAGTGCACGATGAGGTAAAATGTCACATTGGGAGGGTAATGGAATTGTTAGCCAACAGAGAATCAAACGTTTGCATCTGATCAAAGGTCAGTGTTGTTATCAGTTTAAAATTCCAAGAGTTGGTTTAATGGAGAGTAAATACTTGAAATAAATATCATTTAATAATCACACATTGCAATGGTGACGTTAGCATTAGGTGTGTCAGCCTGGTGGTTACAACATTCTACCAAGGCACATACAGAGCGACATTTTCTGTGCACATAGGACACACACACAAAAAAACAACAATGACTGTAAGGATATTGTCTCATTGTTACACTAGGCACTACTACATTGAAAAGAAGGTATGTATTAAAGGAATGTTATCAGAGAAAATCGTTTTGGTAATAGATTCAAGCAAGTATAAAAGGAAAAAATTGATGTTTTATCCAAAAGAGCCGGGCTGCAAATATCTGAGGTGACCCGGTACTGCTGGAATAGAAATCACTTTGTGCTGTCCAGCCTGTGTTCACATTCCCTGTCACTTCCATACATCCAGAGCCAGCACCTATATAGGGATGTAAGTAAAGTATGGGTGTATATAAGAGTCCCTCCTGGATGCATGGAAGACAAAGCTTTATATTGAAGTACAGAGTTACGTTTACGTGTTTATTTTACTCTCTTAAAATAACGTGACCCTGTACTGTTGGATGCAACTGCCCTTATTCTTTTTTGACATAAAAAGTGGCCTCCTTATTCCATTAATTACCTCCTTGGTCCTTTCCATCAATCCCACTGTGTGCAGCAGGAGGGCACTTGAAGCAATAAACCCAGTCATACAGGTGTAATATTCATCTCAGCAGAACCATTCCATGATGGCTCTTCTAATTTTGCATGGTATGCAATGGTGATGTAGTCAATAGAAGTCTACCCCTGTAATTACACAGTTCAGCTACTTTAAAATGAAGCCTCAACAGACCTCTGCTCCTGAAAATGCTAATCTGTCTGGCTTCAATATTTGAAAGTCATAGACTCGAAGTATCCAGATAAAAAGTGTTCTAACTTTGCTGATCCGCATGCTTTTTTGGGGGTTTGTGACTCAAAGTACTGAAGCCATTCACTCAGCATTACAACAAGGCAACCAGCATTTTTAAAAGGACAGCTTCCACATTTCTCTCAGTACAGGGATCCTTTAATAATGCATGTAGGCACACTTCTAAAATAGTGGGTCTTGTGGCTTTTCCATGAAGTTTCTCAGCTGCTGGGACCTGAAATCTCTATAACCTTATGGATTGTTCTCTAATTGATGCACAGTTCAGAGGTCATAGGCTTTCTACACAGCCCTCTGACATTTGCATAATGGCCACAACACATAACTGCACAGAACAATGGCTTCTTGCATTTGATTGACAGCTGCATTGAAGAAAACAAGTAGTTGATAAAAGGAAGAGAGGGCGATTACGGTGAGAATAGAAATGCCCTTTTTTACAGGCCCAGTTCCCGGGAAAAAATAAAAATAGTTACTACGGGGAACCTCCTGTAAGGGAAGGTTACATCACTTTCCTCGGACAGTAGCGCTGCATTTATCACCTCTCACTCCATTCACACCTGACCGTTTTATCACGTCTTTTTGCTCATATATCTACATGCAACAATGCTCATCATCAGAATTTCATTCTGTTCATATTCCCACGCTCTGTCGCTTGAAAAAGTACATGAGCTTTTGGCCTTGTAGATCTTAATGGAAATGGCTGTAAATGTGCTAAAGAAGCGTCTATACGCATTTTTGCACCCAAAGAACTGCTCTCCTGCTCTACAACTACTTTCCATTGGCCAAAACAAAAGCCTGAAGCTTCACACGTGCAAAAACACACAAAGCTTGCAAACGCTTCAAATGTGTTTAAGCGTGATACATTTTGATAAAAAAAGCTTTGAAATGACCAGCCCTATGCCCGGCTCATGCCAAGGAAGAGACTGGGCAAGATGACATGCCAATAAAAATAAATATGGATGATGCAAAAGGTAACACAGGTTTACAAGTATGCGTGCAGAATTTTAACTTGAAATTTCGGAGTCTTTGCATTAAAAAAAATAAAAATGCTTTAAATAAGGAGGGCATGATTGACACCACCTAACCTCCACCCTCTCCACCGTACTGTGGCAAATCTGCAGCTGCTACTTACAGGTTACATTAGCTGGATGTGTACTATTTCGAGGACACCATTATGTTCTCCACTTTAGTTATGGTGTGTTGTTTGTTTACTGTGCACATTTTCAATGTTTTACCTAAATAAAGATTGGACAAAACCTCAGGAACTGACATTCTGCTATGGATTCAGTCGACTTGCCCTTCATGGAGGACATATCTTTACTGCTATTTAAACATTGAATGAAGTTAGGATTTTTCTGTCCACTGCCTTACAAGAAAGCAACATGATTCTTATACACGAGAGCTGCAAAAGCAGATCTAGTCTCCATCTCATTACTAATTGTCGGTCTTTACACAAGTGACCTGAGCTGCCCAGGTTGATTTCCCAGAATCTGCAGCTACTGTGCAAGCTTTCAGATTCTACAATGAAGTCTTATCTCCTCAGTAATCCTCGTTACTGTAAGAAAATTAATAATTAGTCCTGTAGGTAAGAAAATCCTTCATTTTTCCAGGAATTGGCAGCGTGAGGACCTGATAGGTGGTTAGGAAACAACGCAGTGCTTTGCGGCACAAGTGTCTAAGTGAAGACAGGACTCGAGGGGACGTCCAGAACTGCACTTGTCCATCTCGATTTCTGAAATAAAAGAGAACTTATACCTCTACCCAACTGTACATCAATACAAGGCAATAACACAAAAAGCATTCAAGATGATTTCTCCCATTACCTGCTGTGCAATCTTTGTCTACCAGTTGCAGTGCTTTCTGGCCCGTTTCTGGACAGAACACACTGCCTCGCATTGCGGCCGGCTCACTTTTTTGTTGGGCGGGAGGGGGCGTGTGAAGTGAATGGCACCATAGCCACGCCCTCCGGCCGCAATGCGATCCCACACGGGATCGCAAGGCATATTATGTCTGCGGTCCGGTCCGATCAAAATGCGGTCAAATGGAAGCAGAATACACCTGAAAGCAAGCTGGATTTCCCACTGACACAAGCCCGAATGTATTTTTCTTATACCAGCTATTGCTTACATCTGCTGCGATACTAGCAGTACTGGGCAGGTCCATCCCCACTCTAAAGAGTGGATGCTTCACAATAGTTATAATAAATAAATAAAGTCTGCACAATCATCACACATGCTGGTACTAAACTGTTCTCTTAGATTAATGCTTACCTCACAAATATCATTATATCTCAATTGTCTACAAATCCCCTTCTGATGTTCAACCGATCTGGTTAGAATTTAAACTGAACAATGAATAACCTTTTATTGATAGTTGCCCGACTCTCATGCTGAATCTCTTGCTGCAATACCTTGAGTATTATCAGTTGAGTAAGTCAGTAGTTCTAACTTTTCTGAACTGCACACTTGTTCCATGTGAGTGAGTTAGGACAGGCAAGTCCTCATTTCTCTCCAATGACATAAATGTGGTAATATCATTACTAAACCAAGCCCCCAATACGGCTTCATTATTTTGGTAATAATGTGGCGGTACAATGGACTGGCTGGTTAGCAATTGTGTATGTGCAGTAATAGGAGATGACTAGGGGAGCATGGGAAAATTATTTCATTACTACACATTTGTTTAAAACTCTTAAGGTTTTCATATGCACTGTTTGCATTTCGCTTACCCTGTAGCGAGAACTCCTCCATGCGGAAAGAATGTACAACACAGACCATTTGTTACTGGAGCAGCCGACAAGGGCTCTTCATATTCCAGGGACCATATTCTCAGAAATCTGTTGGAGCAAAATGTGTTTGTGTTTTAGAAAATGTCAGGGATGTGTGTACTTTGTTTTAATGTGCACTTATTTTTGCTCGGCACCCGACCTAAACAATCCCATCCTCCCCCTCGAGGCCACTGCTGCAATACTCCCTCTGTTGGCTGCACATTACAGCCCCACAGACTTCTATGGGGCCATCTTCCAGCCATGAAGCAGAAGCGGCCCGGAGAGGAAGACTTGCAGCACTGGATGTCAACAAACAGTGGAGCAGCGGCCCTTGGATGTTGGAGGCGGAGCCTGGGATTCTTTAGGCCAGGGAGGGGGGCATGAAGTATAAGTACACTTTGTATAAAGGCACTTTTTTTTTTAGGTCCTCAAAAACAAATGGAGTTCCAAATGGCAAATATTTTTGTGAAAAATAAACCACTAAATGCCAAAAGTGATGTGAAATTCAGAACTCTGAAAAACACTGTTACTTTTTTTCTAATGTTACATTATAACATTTTATCTGCAAGTACTGGTAGAAAAAAGAAGGATCAAAGACTGCTTAGACTTCACAAAACATTTACTTTTTTTTTTTAGGGTTGTTTCAAATGACAGTTTGTTTTAATTAACCATACTATCTAATTTACTAAGATCCTTTAGACACCCTGCACCATCCTCATGTATCACTTCCCCCCTCCCCTTTTAGATTGTAAGCCCTCAGGGGCAGGGCCCTCCTTACCATCTTGTCTTGAATTGTATTGTAATGTCTTCCTTATATTGTAAAGCGCTGCGCAAACTGTTGGTGCTATATAAATCCTGTATAATAATAATAATAATCATACACCACGCAGCAGCTGAGATCACAATAAACGTCAGTTATGGGAAAAGCTGCCCAACTATTTTCTCTAAACAGTACAAGTTGCAGCTTGATCCACTATTGAAGCAGCAGGTGTGAGTTCAATGTACTGAGCGTGAGTACAACCCACCAGATGAACTGCACACAACTCTTCTTACCTGTCATCTGCCAGGCTTGCGAGGTACAGTCCTTCTGGTGAAAAGCAGACGGATCGTAGAGAGCTGAGCTGTGGTTCCAGAGAGCTATAGTCCAGATCACGAGACAGTGAAATATGGCTGAGAGCAAAATACAGCAGTCAACAAAAACATTTTACTCCGAGTTCCCTAAGCATCACAAATATTAACCAGAAGCAATTCAATTGTTCCCCTGAAGTTCAGCTAGGTTATTACAACTGAAGTATTCATTGCCAGCTTTTTCGTATTTATTTGCAGCTTTCACTATCTTTTAACTAACCAAAATGCTTTCTTTTTTTCTACTAAAATGTGGGAATATTTGTGTGTTTGTATCACAGGATTTATTAAAGAAAAGTTAGTAACTACTTACAGGAACTGTCTTAGCTTTTCGCCTGTATAAGGATCCCACAAAATCATGGTAGTGTCATAAGACGCCGTGATAAGGAGCGCAGAATCTGGAGAGAAGTCACAGGATACTACACTGTTCTGATGGCCCTCCAGCTTCCGAATGAGAGTGTACGATCGCATGCTCCAAAGCAGTACCTATCACAAGATAGGGGGGGGGACACAAAATCAGTCATTTCAAGCTGAGTGGAGAACTAAAAGAACATTTCCCTTTGAAAAACAAAAGTAGACATGAATTCAAACAGCCAAATGTGTCAACCATCTTACCTGCCACAAAAACTGCAGCTACATTAAACCAAATATTGCAATGCAGAGTTCTCTGTCAGTCAGCACTGCTAGCATCTAACCTCACTTTCCTGTTCTGCAATTAAAATGCATCTAAAGTATAAAAAGTTTTATTGTATTTTTAGATAGAGTAGGGACAAGTTAAAGTGACATTAAACCCTCAGATTGTTTAACATAAAACAATACTGTAATGTGTGCCTTACTGTAATCCATGGATGTTTCCCTTCTCTTTGCTGCTCTTCCTTTTAAATCTGTATCTGTTCTCATGCTGGGCAGAACTTCTGTTTTGCAGCAGACTGCCTTGTCTCTGGAAGGGATACATGGTGTCTGTGTGTAGGTTTGCAACCTGAGCCAGCACTACAGGAAGAGGCCCTCAGCTACAAAGGGAAGTTCTCCCCAAGCATGAGAAGACGAGGATTTAAAAGGAAGATCAGCAAAGAGAAGGGAAACTACCATGGATTACAGTAAGGAACACATTACAGTATTGGTTTATGTAAAAAAATCTGAGGGTTTAATGTCACTTTAATGAGATCAAAATCTAATGTGCAGATCAGATTTTGGGACCAAAGTAATACTGCTACTAATAATATATAACATATCATTTATCAATGTAAATGTACACAAACATATAAGTTAATAAAAGGTTTTGGGTTTTTTGGCCATCTGTATCCCATTCGAGAGATTCAAGATATTAATTTTCTATTCCGTAGACACAGATTAGAAGAAAATTGCTCCAAAGCAAGGTAAATCTCCTCTTAGACAGTTTTCACTGGAACAAATGTGCCTATTAAAGATTTCCCCTCATTATTCCTGTTCTGGTGGCAACTCAAAATTTTAGATTTTCAGTGGTCACGTGGAAAAAGAGTTAAAGGAGAACTATGGGGTCAGTGCTTTTCCCCATAGTTCTCTTAAGGGTCACGGGAAAACACAAACTAGCGTCCTCCCGTCACCCAAAGCTCAGTATACTGAGACGCCGCAGCCTGGACGGATGCCGACATTACTGTCTGGATCCACCCAGCTGCGTGACTGACAGCGTGCTCTGCCTATCTAGAGGCAGAGCCAGCTGTACCCGCACCCTCCCCCGTCCGTTCCACCAGTAAGCGCTGGAGGATCGGACAGGGGAGGTGGGGAATCCCTGCAGTGAGCCGTGAGTGACAGTCACGGCTCTCTGAAGGGACATAATTGAGAAGTGAGCGAGCGACGGTATGTGTTCGCTCACTTCCCGATCTATTGAGCCGACGTGTGACAGTTTCATTGTCACACGTCGGCTCGAACTATGAGGCTGCGTGATTTTCACTCGCATTATAGTTCTCCTTTAAAAGGAGAACTGTGGGGTATTTGTTTTTCCCCATAGTTCTCCTAAGGGTCAAGGGAGGACATAAACTAGCGTCCTCCCGTCACCCTAAGCTCAGTATACTGTATACAGCTTGCGGTATTCTGAGAGTGCCGCAGCCAGAACGGATCCTGACATTACTGTCGAGATCCGCCCAGCTGCGCGAGTGACAGCTGGCTCTTTTAATCTATACAAACCAGTTAAATGGAAGAGAGGCATTTACTAACTTTATTTACTAACAAAATAATAAACAGTAGGGAAGGCACTAAGAACGTAGGCAGGAAGAGTAGCCAGTGTTCTTGTGAACAAATAAAACTGAGGTATATGATGAACAAACATAGGGGTATAAAATCTGCCATTATAAAGTCACCTTTTCTTGGAGAGTATTATTTGAAAAAAATGTTTTAGTTTATTCCAGAAAATAAGCCTGAACTTTTTTTTAAATTATCATCAAAAACACTAAAACGTTTTGCAGGGCCAAAAATACACGAAGAGGCATTTTTAGAAAGCAGTGAAACTGACATTCACTGCAGGTGCATATGTTTTAAATGAAAGTGATCGATTCACCACCAGTAAGTGTTTGATGAAAGTCACATGCACTGCCTTAAGGTGCCCATACACTGTACGATCGTACGATAATCGTGGGAAATTCCGCAATCGTACAGTGTATGGAAGGCGTGCGACCGTTTCTACTGTACGATCGCACGTCTTCCGTCGAACAAGCAGGCTGGAAAACCGTGGCGTGCTTGTTCGACAACCGCCGAACGGGCGTTCAGCATTGCAGTGATCGGAAGCCCGCCCCTTAGCAGGGCGGGCTTGCGATGATCGCAAGTACGATCTGCCTGTCGATGATGGGCAGATCTAGAGCTGCAACAGTTAATCGATTTAGTCGATTAAAATCGACGATTGAAAACGTTGGCAACGTTTTCGATCGTCAATTCGTCGGCTTGTGTATGGCCACCTTTGTACACTTTATTTGGTACACTTGTTAAATTGTTTGGTAATACAAATTGCTAAATCAGCCAATCACATGGCAGCAACTCAATGCATTTAGGCATCTAGATGTGGTGAGGATGACTTGAAGATCAAACCGAGCATCAGAATGGGGAAAAAAGGGTTGTTGGTGTCAGAAGGGCTGGTTTGATATTTCAGTAACTGCTAATCTACTGGGATTTTCACGCACAACCATCTCCAGTGTTTACAGAGAATGGTCCGAAAAAAGAAAATATCCAGTAAGCGGCAGTTGTGTGGACGAATATGCCCTGTTGATGTCAGAGGTCAGAGGAGAATATGCAGACTGGTTCGAGATGATAGAAAGGCAAAAGTAACTCAAATAAGCACTCGTTACATCGGAGGTATGCAGAATACCATCTCTGAACGCACGACACATCGAACCAGATGGGCTACAGCAGCAGAAGACCACACCGGGTGCCATTCCTGTCAGCTAATAACAGGAAACGGAGGCTACAATTCGCACAGGCTCACCAAAATTGGACAATAGAAGATTGGAAAAACGTTGCCTGGTCTGATGAGTCTCGATTTCAGCTGTGACATTCATATGGTAGGGTCAGAATTTGGCGTAAACAACATGGTGGTGTAATGATGTGGGGGATATTTTCTTGGCACACTTTGAGCCTGTGATGCTATTATATCAATATGGACCAAAATATCGAAGGAATGTTTCCTACACCTTGTGGAATCTATGCCATGAAGAATAAAGGCAGTTCTGAAGGCAAAAGGGGGGTCCAATCCGGTACTAGCAAGGTGTACCTAATAAAGTGGCCAGCAAGTGTATACATGTCTCTATAGAGCTCCCCGTGTCTTTTAAAGTACATATAGTGATACTGTAATGTCATTTAGACAGGGAACATATCAAAGGATGTCCAGCCACAAAAATGAGAAATGGGATGACGTAGTTGGGTATAAAATAATTTTAACCTGTGATAGTCTGTTGACCACCCAAGCACAAATAAATCCACCTTAGAAAGGTGTTTTTAATCAACTTTATTGTAGACATCAAGTACACCTAAACAACCAACACTGTAACACACTGTGTCCCCATTAAAGTAAAAGTTGAATTTCAAGACATGATCTATAGAGAAGAACAAGATAAGAAGCCAGAATCATACTATGGCAGAGTCCCTATGATATGTAAACATATAATGTGTCAATTTGCCCCAAACTGATACCATATCCCAAAATTCTGATACAGGGATCCCTCCTCTGAGACTGCTGACACATAGCAATCCAGGTCACAATTCGGGCTGCTGCCATCTGATGATTTAAGTAGAAGGAAAGGTTAAAATCTTACCTCCCCTCGTTTGATATACATGCTGCATAGGGTTTGTAATAAAGCACAGTGCAAACACCTCCCTCCTCCCAATCTTCATGTGACCACCCAGCTTAGTCTCCTATGTGTTACTTAGTGGCTTGCTGTGGCTGATGGGAGGGAACTCTTTCCCTCTGACAGCAGGGTAGTGATGGGAGCCAGTAGGCAGCATGATGGGTCCGTGTATTCAGCCCCGTTGTTGACACAGAAGAGCTGACCAGTCCAAAGAAAGGTATTTGCACTGTGCTTTATTACAAGCACTATGAAGCATGTATAACAGCAGATGGGAGACAATGTATAAAGCTTTATTTTAGCCTTGACTTCTGCTTTAAGGTTTAGGTGGACTGATCTTTTCAGCTACCCATAAATGGAGTCATACTCTGGAACAATATGACCAACTCAGACCCAATTATGTGACATTTCTATCATGTATGGTGTGAGAACAAGTGCATCAGATCAGTGCCAACAATGGAGAAATAGATCAGGCAGGCTGGACAATTAAAGATCATTTTCTATCCACCTGTAGATAAGTCAGTGCAGCATGGCACTCTACAGACACTGTCTGGTGAATCAATGCCACGGTATAAAGTCCTCCTCTAAGAAAAAGATCCTTCCTAACACAACAGCACTGGGTTCCTTTCTTCCAAGCTCTATTATAATCCTTTTAAACCTTAGTAGAACACTACACATGACTATGCAAATGTTCAATGTTAAAGCGGACCTTTACACTCAAAAATCTAATTCTACCAATGCATCCCTCTATGTATGATGTGTAAAAATAACATAGACATGTCAGGTGTAAAATGCTGTGATTTTGAAATACTTACACTTGCAGAACATTCACTTCCTGCTTTGAAAAGGCAAAATGACTTTAGTTTGCCTAAGCTTTGCATCCTGGGAAGGTTACATCAGCAGAACATTGCTGGAAAAACTCATCTCAGGGAAAGGCATTTTCCTCCCCTGAGATGATGTGCATGGTCACATGTCCTAGTCACCAGGAAGTAAAAGGAGAGCTAGTAACCTGCCCTTAGTAAACATGGCCACTGCCAGAAGACCGGGGAAGAAAAGAGAAATAAGATATGCAAAGAATACAAAGCCGGCAATTATCTATCAGTATGTGTTTGTAGGTTGTCATTACTAAACATTTCTAAAGGTGTGTTTGTTGTTATTTTAAAGATCTGGGTAAAGGTCCGCTTTAAATCATAACCGTCCAATCTATTTTTCCTTAATAGTCTTATTAGGGGTAGCTGTGGGTATTGATTGTAGTAACAGAGAATAGTGTGTGTGGTATCTCACCGAGCTTTCCCCTGCAGCAGAACACAGCATACTGCAGTCTGGCGAAATAGAACAGCAATAGACCCACTGGATGTGTCCAGATAGCACCTGGATCAATTTACCTAGAAAATACAGAGACAGAGAGACAATCACTCCAAACAATTAGTCATAATATGTCTTTGTCCTACATACAGACGTGTTGTGCATGTCAAGGCATGAGTTTGGCTTTTCTGCCTTAGGAGTACTATGCTGCGTGTGTCAGGAAATGGTTGCTTCCATCAGAGCCTAGTTACAAAGGAGTTTTCTATAAGCAAAAAATAATTCAACCTGCAACTTTTGCAAGCTTTTAGCATCTTAAGTCCACATGTTGAAGAACACATTGACTTGTATTGAGAAATAAAAGGAAATCGCCAACTATTCTTGAAAGCTCAGGTACACAAGCCCTATTCCCCCCTCCACCCTCCCCCAAAAAAAGCCAATGTGAATGCAGGGTAATGTTCCTTGAGACTCTTGTATAAATCACTGTAGTGACAAACAGTATAGTTTACAGTTTATATTGTAAATGTTCCTAATTAATGTTATCAGTAGATGACACAGTTGGATAAAAACGCATTTACTATTAAAATGCAATCCAAAGTGTTCTTGTTATGTGTATCTGTCAATGTGCTGTCTTAACTAGTTGCATTTCCAGTTCTACATGACAACTGGGTGTGTACTTTCCTGAACGCATAGCTGCGGATGCTGAATTATTTCAGAAATTCACACACCCAGGACAGCAAACAATGACTGTGGGACTTCAGTCTTGACGTGTGGATTCTACATATAACCAGACAGAATGACATCTACCTTTTTTTGCACATTATCACCATATCTGAATGGTAACTAAACAAATAAATGTACATTCCAGGTCAGTATAACAACATGAATATACAGTATATAATGGGACAAAATACTAGGTTCGTTAAATAGCGGATAGCAGAAACTGTCAATGCATACAGTTTACATTAATTGTCCTCCAGCACCATCCAGAGTTGCCCTGAAATGTCTCCACTGCATTAAGTGCAGAAAATACACCTATAACTCTGCAAATAGTAAATCTGACAAAGTTGCTATTTGCAGAAACAGCTCACTGGGGCTACAGGCAGCACTAGAAGAAAATAGGCTGCCCAGAAGAAAAAATAAATCTGTTTTCTTTTGAATTGAACCCTCCAGAGCATTGCAACCATGACCAATGGATCACAGGTGCAATGCACGGGCACCTGCAGGCTGTTCCTATGCCCCCAAGTGCATACAGCAGTATGGACCATAAGTTATGAAGCTGAAAAAAGTAATCTATGGACTACAAGTGCAGTGACATCATCTCACTTGTGCTCCATTCAGATCCTGTATGTTTCCAAAATCCTGTATTTCAGATTCGGTGTGTTTTCAAGCAGACAAATGTCAATCCATTAGTTGCAGACTACAGATATAGATGTGGTCATACTTGGTGTTCCAGTTGTATTGGGGGACAGCAAAACTGGGAAATCATGTACCACTGGTATTAGATTAAAAAAAAGAAAAAAAAAACTTTTAAAAATGCAATATCAGATTTGTTGTATATGTTTTGACAGGCAGAGTCTGTAAAATGCAATACTTGGGCAGGACGAGTGGGAGACTGAGATATATAAATGGTCTCTGACATAAGGTCAGGTAAGAAGACCAGTTTCACTAGACATTGGTGACAAACTCACAGTTCAAAAATAGATTCTCTGGCAGTACAAATAGAGAGAGTGGAGTGGAAAGAGAGTAGCCTTCTTGAAGAGAGGCTCTCCACCTTCTGGAGAGAGGTGTATATTGGTCCTTTGCCTTAGTGCAGAGTACAAGGTTTAAATTATGAATGACATGTCTCATATTATCCCTGATCTTTGTTTTCTTTTCCTTTCCTTCCCTCTGCTCCTCCAGCCCCCCGCCCCTTTCCTTTCCATCCTCCTTGAGCGTTTTCTGTGCTCTTCCCTTCTCTTGATTTAGATTCATGATGGTGCAATAACGTTGGAATCAATGTGTGGTTTCAAACTACTTGTGTGGGAAGAACGGATCCTGGAGGAGTGTGCACCCACAGACTGGAGTGGAAGCCAGCAATGGTCCTCAGATTGCGAGTACAGATCTTTGTGAATGGATGACACTGAGCACATGGAGTATAAACAACCATGCTAAATTCAAAAAAAACAGGAGTGTGCAGGGAGAAGAACCCCAATATTTAGGCGTGTGTGTGTTTTGGGGGGGGGCAGGTTCCAGAATGGAAAGAAATACTGGGCATGTGCAACTCCCCATAACAGATAAAAAGTTCTAGAAAATGTCTACATTCATACCATCCTTTTTCAAGTCCCAGACACGTAGAGTCTTATCTCGGGATGCAGTGACAAGGGTCAGATTGCCATTTGTAGTAAAGCTCAAGTCTCTTACCACATCTTGGTGCCCAGACAGATTGAAAAGCAGACGACCTGTGATAATGACATAGTTAATGATTTCCTTTCCTCCTGACTCTGAAGACAAAGCATAGAGCCAGAATTCCTTATGAACACTACAACACGGTCAAACACTGCTACAATATACAATCACTGATAAGTAACAGTGTGCAGTTAAAAGTTATTTAGTCCATGCAATTTACCTGTATGCACTTCCCATACTTTGACATGGCCATCACTAAGTCCTGTTGCCAAAAGCAGCCAAGACCCAGGAGATCCAGTGGCTTGTTGCCTGGAACGTGGCCACAACTTCCAGCCTGCTGGTGAAGATGAGGAGCCAAACGCCAAGCTCCAGACAATCTGACCGCAGTCCAAAATTTTCTCTTTCAGGTTACATTTCCTTTTGACCTCTGCAGTCTTGTAGCATTGACTTTTCGTTCTATAGGATGGCGCTCCTCTGGCAAAATAAAAGATTTCTCAGTAACTCAGGTGAAAATGCTCCTAAATAAGCATTTCTGTCTGAAGGTAAAACATGTTTATAAAGAGTCCATGTGCATGAATACCAGTGTACCTATCATTTAGATATTAACATTAGAAACAAAAATTGCCAACGTTCTTACAGCTGTTCCTCTTCCAGTGGCCAGGGGATGAGTTTAATGATGCCATGTCCTTGAGACCAGGCAAACCAGAAGCCATCAGGAGAGAAGGCAACACCCCACGCCTCACAGCTGGACTTCCAATCATACAGATGCTCTCTACCGGGGCGTAGCTCAGCCAGTAGGACAGGGGCATCTGAGAAGACAAAATGCCACATATAAGGGAGCAGTAAAACATATATGGATTGCTCAATGTAAATCGGAGGCCCTAGCAGCCATCCCAACCTTTCACAGTGTCTTGTCACTGAATATTTGGAGAAACATGTCTAAACAGAGACTTTTTTTTCCGGTGACAGACCCCTTGGTAATTGACCTCTTAGTGTGCTGCCCTGTACAGAAAAAGTGCTTTCTTAAATGAACAGCTATACTGTTATACTGTTAACTAACCATGAAAAGATTGCTCTTGCTCCTTTTTTTATTCTATATGTTTATAAAAGCTATTACATGTTCTACAGTTCATCCCCACACAGCTACCTCCTCATGTATCACTGGCCCCTCCCTTTTAGATTGTAAGCCCTCACGGGCAGGGCCCTCCTTACCATCTTGTCTTGAATTGTATTGTAATTTCTTCCTTATATTGTAAAGCACTACACAAACTGTTGCTGCTATATAAATCCTGTATAATAATAATAATAATAACAACAGCAATATGTAAATTGCTTACACTTTATATTCATCAGAAATAACTACAAATGTACCTAAATGCAATGTTTCTTAAAAGGGTTCTCCAGTTGTAGTAAAAACTTGACTTCAAGGGATATATAGATATATATACATACAGGGCTTGAAAAATCCACTCGTCCGCTCGTCTGTGACGAGAGGACGGTAGAGCCCGACGTGCAGCTTCCCGGCCAGCCGTTGTAATTACACGGCCGGCCGGGAGCTTTACATTCAAGTGATCAGGGGTCTCTATAGAGGCCCCAGCAAAACAAACGACAAACGCACTCAACAATTTGTTACCAGTTATACAGTAAGGTGCACATGAAATGGGCTGTTCAAAGCTGTTCAAAGCCCATTTCGTGTGCACCTTAGTCCCCCATGTAATAGCAATAAAGTTGTGTGTAAAAAAAATAAAAAGTAATACAAAAACTAAAGAATCAAAAAAAAAATAAAGCATTAAATAAGAAAACTATTTTTCCCCAGTCATCTTCCAGGACAGCCATCGAGATA